TGTGTAGTGTTGTCATTGACGGCACATAGCGTTACTTACAGGTGTGTTGCAGCATCTGTGTATCATACAGCTGTGTATCATACAGCTGCGGCCGTTCACTCTGCACCACTCTGCACACACAGAACTCATTGCAACACATCACTACCATGTATAACTCCGCCCTCTAGCTAAGTCTGCGTTCATATCAGTGCGCGGCACTATATACTACGCTAAAACATTGTTATGGGAGGTTACAAAAAAAAAACAAAAAAAAAGCTTGATGCGGGTTTTGGGCTTGAAAATTCAGAAACCATATCGGGCCGGGCCGGGCTGGGGCGCCACCCCCTCGGGCCAGGGCCGGGCTCGGGCCCAGATAATAGGCCCGTGCAGGGCTCTAAACAGGATAGCTTATAAGCAACTGTATCATTTGATTGAAACGCCAACGCACGCTCATGAAGTTTCAGTTTCACTTCCGCGTTCATCCAAGGGTTTTGACTAAAATGTTCTTTAATGACCTTCTGTGGGACACAGCCGTCAATACAGAAGCGTATGTATTTAGACACAACGTCACAGAATTCATTGACGTCCTCTGACTGAAACACAGACCAGTCCGTAGCATCAAAACAACCTTGTAGCTTCATGCTAGCCTCCTCAGACCAACACTGCACAGTGCGAGAGGTTGGTTTATGTTCCCTGCTCCTCTGAGTATACGAAGGAAGAAGGAGAACAGAGGAGTGGTCAGACTTTCCAAAAGGAGGTCTGAGACTGGACCTGTAAGCTCCCTTCACGTTACTGTAGCAGTGATCCAGAACATGTGCTCCTCTTGTAGCTTGAGTCACATGTTGGTAAAAGTTCGGGAGTACAGTCTTTAAATTACATTTATTGAAATCCCCAGCAACAATGATGACTGCGTTAGGATGAGCAGACTCATGTTTGTGAAGGATCTCGCTCAGATCCTGTAGGGCTACTTTGTAATCCGCACGTGGGTGAATGTAAACAGCACATAAAAATATCACTGAAAACTCACGGGGAAGATAAAAAGGGCGGCAGCTCAAGACCAGGCATTCCAGATTGGCAGTACATGTTTTGTTCACGACGCGAGTATCCGTGCACCAGCGCTGATTAATTAAAAAGCACACACCTCCGCCTCTGGCCTTGCCCATGGTCTCCTTCACTCTGTCCGCACGGTGAGCGGTGAATCCCGGGGGCTGAACAGCAGAGTCCGGGACGTTCGAGTGGAGCCACGTCTCGCTGAGGCAGAACACAGCGCAGTCCCGGGCCTCGCGCTGGCTCTGGACCCGACACAGGAGCTCGTCCGTCAGAGCAGACACACACTCAGAGAAAACACACACTCAGAGCAAACACGCACTCAGAGAGAACACACAATCAGAGCAGACACACAATCAGAGCGGACACACAATCAGAGCAGACACACAATCAGAGCGGACACACAATCGGAGTCCTTGTGACTTACCCAAGACCAGATCACTTGTTTATCTATTTAGATTAAAACAGAGCACATTACCTTGATATAACTTAAGTCAAATTATTATTAACATAACATACATATTTTTTAATCTTTCTCATTGACAATAATTAATGTAAATGTCCAATAATGTATAACGTGTTTGTGAATATGTCTTCGTTGCCTTTCCACGTCACAGACCATAAAGCCGTTTTAATGCAGCAGAGAGAAAGAGTGCGTTGTTGAAAAGTCGGCGCAGATTTGAGTCCAAACACATGGGACCGCGTTTACATCTTCCACCAAACACTGGTTCTGGAGTTCAGACCCGCGGCACATTGTCATATAGAGCTGCATCTGTTGTTATTGTCTGTTCTTGCATCGGGATTATGTAAAAGTCCTTTCTGCGGAGAGCCTGATGTTCTGAACATTTATAGAGCAGATAGGAAGCATATAGCAGATGGAGATAAATGGTTTCTCTGTGTATTTGATGCTAAGTGCACATGGTACTGTTAGGACACCAGCCTTATGCCTCAGACCAGTTGACACATGCCCTCCACGGTCCAGATGGCGGTTCTGTGGGTCACTTGTCAGTCAGCACCATTTTAGACACACAGGGGTATTTGTTGTTCATTAAAATACTAACAGAGGCGACAGTGGCTCAGTTGGTAGAGCATTGGCCTTTGGGCCTGAAGGTCGTGGGTTCAAGCCCACCATAAGACCTACTTCACGACTCCCACTGATGACTTAACACTTAACCACCTGCAGGAGGATCAGTGAGGGGCTGGTGCCATGTGTACTGGGTGCAGCTCTGACTGCCACCCCCCCGACCCAGAAATGGATTAAGGGGAAGAAAATGGATGGATGGATGGATAAAATACTAACAACAATGGTTATAGTTTGAAGCCTATAGAGAGATGTAGAACATACTGTATATGGGTGAACAAGTATCAAATGAGAGAGAAGTATTTGTTTTATTTATTTTCCTAATTTAAGAATTATCGGCGGAACATGGTCAAATTAGCCAGCAGGAATTACATTTTTGTGCCGGCAGTTCCTGATGTTAGCCTGGATGGTTTTATAATAACTCCAGGCCTGACGGAACAATTATAACTAGGGTTAAAGCTCAAAACAAGTAGATTTTAAATGATGTGTCTCCTTTAAAAAACAAGATGAAGATTTCTAAGGTACATTCACCGTGATATAATTTTACTGTTTTTATTATTTTTTACACATAGCTCTATAAAAGCCAGTGAAATTCTCTGTAGAAAGGACATGTGACATTTTATTTTTTATTTTTGCTGCTACTGGACACTTTAATTTATCATACGGGGATCAATAAAGCACTCTCCTAACTCCAAACAAAATCCTGGTTTCGAATCCCGCTCTGCACAGGGCCTTTCTGAGTCGAGTTTGCATGTTCTCTCTGTGTCTGCTAAGGTGTCCTCTGGGTGCTCCGGTTTCCCCTATACCACTAAAAACATGCACAATAGGTCTGAATGTATTGAGTGAGTGTATGGAGGGTGTTTGGTCAGAGGCTTTGAGGGTCCAGTGTGTTCGGTGTCTCACTTCTGTCTTCACGTGTGTGGAATGTGTAGCGACTCTAGTGCCTATTGCCGCTGGAGAGGAGAAACCGGGTTCGTCTGATTGTATGACGCGCTGCTTGGCTGTCACAGAGCACACTTAGTCAGGGATTAAGTTTGATGGCGTTTAAATGAAAAGAAACACGGATGAGGTGATAACATAACGTAGACGTCTTGATATTGAACGGAACAGTGAGACAACGAAGATACAAAAGAAACAAACACAAACGAACGGTCAACAAAAACTACGGCGACCCAGCCCCCCTCTCTACTACTGATTTCATTCATAAAACAGAGGTGAGAACTAAGTAGACACCGCCCCAGTAACCACGTGACCCACACCCGGCACATCACCCAATCAAATCACAGCCCACTGTTATATTCAATTTATGGCTCCTACACAGAATGATTGGAAGAATATCTGACTCTGAACATTGTAAAGCGCTTTGGGTCTGTACCTTGGTCTGTAAAATGTGCTATATACAGTATATAAACATTACTTACTTAGCTACTATCTATCTATGTTGTGTGTGACAGGGCATCAGGTTTGTCCGCTCTTGAACAGTTGAATACAAAGAAACTCATTGGAGTCACACTGCTAACCCAAATCCTTCCTGAGTTGTATTCTGGCTTCGGCCGCATGCAGCAAACAGGAATAAAAGTGCATTTTCCCAAACATCCGCGTGCCCTGCTCTTGTGATCTCGCCGGCCTGCCCCAAAGGTGCAATAACAGTTTATTACACCTATCCCCCCTTTACGACCCTCCCACTCAGCTCCCCTCAGCCTGCACTAACTGTTATTGAATACACCCAGGTCTACCATACATCATTGCTGAGCAGCGCGTTATGCTATGTGCGGACCAGCTAATCACCGGCAGTTCATACGGGCGCTGTCCGGGTCACATTGGGATTGTTTTACTTATCTGATATCAGCGGAGATCCAGTGCTGTGTTTAAAGCAGTCCCATTTGTCTTTCTCATCGCTGCGGGCCCGGATTCTCCTTTCCCAATATGTGTCCGTGCTGTAATGACCAATGTAATGGGGAATAAAATTGCAAGCTTCTTCTGCATTTGCGATCTAGTTTTGTGCAAGTGGATAAGAGGCACTTTTTCACAGATTAGAGGACGGAATGTACATGGGAAAAAAACTGAATTAAATATAGTCTTTTAACTCAATTGAAAGTACAATCCCAGAACTATGCTCTCCTGTAGAAGTTCTGAAAGTTGCCCACAGTTAGGCACATGTTTTGAAATCACCGACACTACTTATTACAGCTGCACAAAGAATCACTATTCATTAAAAATAGCTAATTTAGTGTCTGCAATTAGCAAATCACAAAGACTGGAATTGGATATTACATTGTCTCTACAGAAAGCAAGGTACAGTATATTAAACATCATGGTATCCCTGTAATTTTGACTTATGTTCCTAAATATGAAAAAGGTTCTGTCTTAAACACAGTGGGATGTTCAGGGAAAAGTTTCTCATCATTTACTAAAAAAGAAAAAGATTCAAACGTTTTTTTTCTGGTTTCATTTTTCCCAGACTTTAATTCTCCTGCAGTACGTTTTTATTAAGATTAGAATCAAGAGGTACTTTCTTCGTCCCATTGTGGGGAAATGTCTTTGATGCATTAGTAAAGAAGTTAAAATACTGTATACAAAAAAAATTTATGTACAAGAATATTTAGTTATTATCTCTGAGGGTTCATATGTTCCCAGCGATGAAACTACATGTTCTCACCCTGAGGTAAAAGTGACAGTGACACATTTGTCCCATTTTGCACATTTTAACATTATTTCAGATTTTTGCACAGATGCACGAGGCCAGGTCGACGGTGGTCATGAGTCCTCTTCGTTTCACTATAATCACACAGGTTTTCTGAAAAACGGGTGGCTCTGATTTGCATTATGGATGGAATTAGGATTCAAAACCTGTACGGAGCGTTGAACTGTTGAGCGGGAGAGGCAGGCACCCATGGGTGACGGCGGGACACGTCTGAGGGTGCAGCCGTCAGCCCTCTGTCACACTGATGGCTCTTCTGTCCCGGGGCGAGCAGAGGAGCAGGTGAAAGAGACACTCACACAATACAAATGAGTGTGAATGAGAAAGTTAGAGAGGAACAAATGTCAGGTCTCTCTGAGCAGAAGCATTTGCAAAGAGCAGTCCGTGTTTGAGCTCATTTAAAGTATAATTGTATTTATTCTCAAACTCTAGAAAGAGATCATTTATAATCTATCTTTCAATTAGACATCTCAGCTTTTAGATAGATAGATACTTTATTGATCCCGTCGGAGAAATTCATGTGTCCAGTAGCAGCAAAAATAAAAAATTAAATTCATCATTCAAAAAGATAACAATAGTAATTATCGGCAACAGCCTCAGGTCACAGCAGCAGAGGTGGAGTAGCCTCTGGGTGGAGCAGGACGGGTCACAGCAGTGGTACTGCAGCCTCTCCCACTCTCCCTGACTCAGGTTGCCAGATATGCAGACAAATCCAGCTGGGACCATAACAGCTGAATAGACAAGAGTTTTGTCAACAACAAATCTATAACCAACACCTTTTTCACAAAGATAGAAATCCTGGTTTTATTCCTTGTTTTGTCGTTAATGATTTGAGAATCATAACGAGACCTTTTTTAGTTCTGCGCCACATGGTACTTTACCAGTGAGATTAGCTCCATGCGGTGAGTTCTGGCGCCCGGATGACAGACTTTCTGATTGGTGAAACGGTGGAGGGCGGGACATCAAAATGAAAACAATAACAAGATTTAGAGGCTGGAAAAGTGATTTAGAAATTCAAATATTTCTGAACTATTGTTATCAGTTAAAGAAGTATTGGAAAAGAGCAGTTTATTATTATGACAGATTAGGGCCCTTTAATGATGACAGATTAGGGCCCTTTAATGATGACAGAATAGGGCCCTGTAAGGATGACAGATTAGGGCCCTTTAATGATGACTTGACATGAAAATTTTACATATTGCTACTTTAAACATCTTTAAGTAAAAATCTTGGGCTTAATTCCGTCTGGTTCATATGATTCATAGTTTGATCAGAACATTGTCTGCATTCTGAAATAGTAACAAACTCTCCAAATTGGTTTCCCGCTTTTCCATTTACTGCAAAGGGTTGAGGCAATTAGGTCCATTTGCTCTGAAAGTTATTCCATTCTCTGAAAAAACATACTTTAATGAACTATGTGTCGTATTATAAAGGCCGAAGCTCCTTTCTGCATGGGTAGAAATCTTTACAACAGACCAAGATAAAGTTAGAACACATAGAAATAAAAACAATCAATCAAATAAAGTAGTAAAATGTAGCTTTTTAGATCTTGTGCCGTCTGTTAAACACGTTAATAACATCAGCACCACGGCATCGTATACACCATCGAATGACCCTAAGATGTGTGCGCTGTGAAGGGGACATTGGGGAAAATAAGTTGTATATTCTCTATTATGTGGTCTGCATAATAAAAAAATATGTAAATTAGATTCATGTAGTGATGGTCGGGTGCGGTGGGCAGGTGCTTGGCCTCTTGGTCCTTCAAATGGGCTTTTAGAATTACTTTATTATGTATGTATATTGAGCGACCTCGCTGGGTAGATTATACACTATTTGCCCTCAACAGTCATCCCACATTTTTATTTTTTATTTTATTTATTTTATTTATTTTTTTATTTTTTTATTTTTTTATTTTTTTATTTTTTTATTTATTGTATTTGTTTTATTTATTCTGTTGATTTTATTTATTTTATGTATTTGATCGGGACAACACACATTAATGAACAATCATATACAAGTTGTACACAAATTCTAAATGTGCCAGATTGGAGCAAAACTGCTAATTTACATCCGTAGTCCCGAGGCAGGTCACACAATAATAATAATATTAATAATACCGGGCGGTACGGTGGCTGAGTGGATAGCACTCTCGCCTCTCAGCAAGAAGGTCCTGGGTTCGAATCCCGGTCGGACCAGGGCCTTTCTGAGTGGAGTTTGCATGTTCTCCCCGTGTCTGCGTAGGTTTCCTCCGGGTACTCCGGTTTCCCCTACCACTAAAAATATGTCCAATAGTTCTGGCATGCGCTTCCTGTACTGGCCCCGCTCCCATCTCTGTGTGGAGTGAGAGACAAATGCCCATAATTAACAATTGTAAACCGCTTTGAGACTCAGATCTGCAGTGAAAAGGCGGTATATAAATAAGGATTAAAACAAAATAATAATAAATAAAAAAAAAAAACAAAAGGACAATTTACAACTATAATTACAGTTAGTCAAAATGAGTGCAGGACTGATTTACTTTAAAATGGTGTTTCAGTTTAGACTGATTTAGTTGTTTTTTTAAAAGCGTTATATGTTGGGCACTTTCTTATGTCTGTAGGAAGGTTGTTCAAAGACTGACCTCCTCTGACCGACAGCACAGTTTGTCTTCACATCTCCTCTAGAGGGCGCTCTGGTGCGGGGACCTGTCACTGCTATGGCTTTAATGTAGTTTCTATGGATTGACAGCCGTTCGCTCTGCCTTGCTCTCTATACCATGTGCTTGAATCAGTAAAAGAAAGATTGAGAAATGATTTTATGTGCACATGGTTTTGATTAACCTGGCAAGAGCCAGATTGATGATTGTGTAGAACTCTAACGCGTTCTCCGCGATATCAATCTGGGATTTCTCCCGGAGAATCCTTTCGGGGAAAGGAGGGATAAGCAGCAGAATACTTCAAGCTGATTGGGCGAAGTGACGCTGTGTGCCCGCCTACACTCTTGCCAAAACCCGTAGGTAAAAATGCACAAACATCTTTGCCGTCCAGAAATGCACAAAGCGCCTCTCGCTGTTCATCTTTCAAAAAAGAAATTGGAGATTCTGCTAAAACTGACTTCATAGCCTCAGCTACGCGTCCGTCCTCCTGCGTAGCCATGTTTGTTTTGCTTCGGCCCGGCACTTCTTGTTTTCGTCAAACCCGGATATCCCGCCCTAAACCCCCAGACTGGCGCGTGATTGGCTCGCACACCCAGTGGTTCGACTCGAAAAGTGTAAGCGGGAGCGGTACAAGATGTATTCTCGAGTGTTTGTGAACTCACAAATACCGCGAGAATTCAGCTTGCAGGCAACGTTAGGTTTTGATTGCCCACAGCCTTTATCACCTCAACACATGCTGTGCCTGTGATAGTTATAGATTCTTAACAAAAAGCATATTGTAAAAACACTTGTCCTGTTTTGTTTTCTGCAGTTTGTGCTGGAACGGAGAATAAGCTGAGCACTCTGTCCGACCTGGAGCAGCAGTACCGCACGCTCAGGAAGTACTATGTGAACTGTGAGGTGGTCATGGGAAATCTGGAGATCACCAGCATCGACCGCAGCCGCGACCTCACCTTCCTCCGGGTAAGAACCAAACACCTGCAGGAACACGATCACCCGCATGCACACTAGAAGGAGCGATAGGGGCGGTTTGAAGGCTCCTGCGACTTTCATGGAGATTAAGGACTCATGCTTCAGTGATCAGTTGGACATGGGAAGGTACTGGTTGGCCAAGTTTTTCATCGAATGGATAGTCTGAGTTTATCTGAGTCATAGTTTGTAAATGTTCTAGCACTGTGTCATTGTGAATGTCACTTGATTTAAGATAAGATAAGATAAGATAGACTTGGATCTCACACTGGAGGAATGTACATGCCACATTTGGTACAGATAGAATCACTCAGATTGTGGAAAAAGACAGAATATGATAAAATTATGTACAAAACAAAGAAATGGCCGAAAGAATGGTTATAGCAGTGCAGGTTTTTCAGTCCTAGTGCATTAGTGACTCAAAGTGACTTGTTGTACAGTCTGACAGCGGTGGGGATAAAGGCCCTGCGGTAGCGCTCAGTCTTCTACTGAAGGAGCTCCTCAGCTCCTCTACAGTCCTGTGCAGTGGGAGGTGTTGTCCATGATGGAGGTGACTTTGACTAGCATCTCCTGTCCCTCACCTCCTCCACAGAGTCCAGGGAGCAGCCCAGAGTGGAGCTGGCCCTCCTGACCAGCTTGTTCAGTTTGTTTCTGTCCCGCTCTGTGCTGCCCGGGGCCCAGCACACGGCAGCGTAGTAAATGGCAGAAGCTACCACAGAGTCATAAAAAGTCCTGAGCAGAGGCCTGCTCACTCCGAAGGACCTCAGCCTCCTCAGAAGGAAGATGCGACTTTGGCCCTTCTTGTGCAGGGCGTTGGTGTTATGGGACCAGTCCAGTTTATTTGGGACTGAGCACTGTACCAAGTACCTGAACACCCAGGTACTTGAAAAAAAAAAAATATAGATTAAAAAACCCGATTTATAAAGTGTGTCAAATATACTTCTAACTAATTGGATTATGACTGCATCGACTAAAAATGCTATTGTACTTTTCCCATGAATCTAGTCTTTTACTTCCAGAACTTGTGCAGTGTAACAAAAGATACAACTTATAAACTTTAAAAAACAATATAAATTATAGGTAACAGAGCCACTATATTACAACCAGATATCACTATTTCTGAGTCACATCGACGGCCTTTCCTTCTGTTAGACAAACTCAGAGGTGAATAAATGTGTGCCCTTCCTTAAACGAGTCTGTAAAACTGCAGCCTGTGATTCCAAAGTTATTACACACGGCTGATTACAATGTTTACCTGATAACATCACATGCAAGTGACACGAGCGCGGGGAGAAAACACCTCCACTGCTCCTCACACAGACGTCAGGAAACAGCAGATTATGGCTCATTAATCCCTCAGACATGCTCGTATTTTCAGCAAATTCAGAAATGACACTGCGCTGAACAAGTCTATGACAGTAATTGTTAAAAACTGTTTACTTTGCTCATGTGAGGTGTTTCATATCGGATTATAAACCGGGTCTTCTCGTGGGTTTATGAGCGTTGCTGATACTAGTCCCTCACTGTGATCATAAATAAGAAAAGAATTGCTCAATTTTGGCTAAATCTATTCTAATTTGAGCACATTATGAATGCCTTGAAAAGAAAAATGCTAATACGACAAGCAAAATTATCTTGTTTTAAAAAGTCTCCATTGGAATGAGAAAAATAAAGCAACAGTTATTGAAATGAGAATAAATGCCTTTGTTCCATCTGCAAATATAGTTTTAACACAGACAGAATGTACTCCAAAAAAATAAAAATAAAGATAAAGAACCAGCTAGATTCAAGAAGCATTTTCCTCAAATGTTATAATTTCTTGGTGTCTTATAATACCACAAGCTCAAATGTTAAATGAAAACATTCTACAGGCATCACCAGTTTTCTTTAGGAAACATTGCAGCTTAAAGGACTTGGTCTTACTTCAATTTAAAAGCAGTAGAAACAAATATTTTTTGAAAAACTTTGACAATTATAGATTTAAAGTCCTACGTAAAAGAAAAAATAATTTGACATATGGCTGCAGTAGATTTATCATTCATCATTATTTTACTTTCACTTTTATGAACACCCTTTGTGCCGTGTTGGATGAAAATTGGCCTCGAAATGCCCATTTATTTGAAATTGCTGCTGCAGAAGTTGTGAGCCTGAACTTCCTCGGCGTTGACCTTGCAGCTGCTCACGGCCTGCGCTCCATGGTCCGCTCTCAGATTAGAGAAGAGAGAATATAATCAGGGGTAATCAGACTAACTCACTCAGTGTCCAGCTGATTGTGAGCTCTCATTGTGTCTGTGGCCAAGAATGATCAAAAACCAAATATCTGAAGCTTTGATTGAACATAATCAGTTAACAATGGACGGAAGATAATTAACCTATACTGTATATAATGAAGCAGAATACATGCATAATGAGAAAGAGCGTCATGTGATCTCAACTGTCTTAATGAGCATTGTGTAAACCATCTTTTATTCTGACTTTATCAAAAATGAATCCATGCCTTTCTCTGGTCTCTCTCTGCTCTGTTTTAATCTGTCCAGCCTCAGAACCCAGACAGATTGAAACTGTGTGTGTGCCTCGCTTGACGTCTAAAATGCGACACGTGAGGAAATCTGATCTGGGTGTCAGACACAGTAACCTAATAATAGTTCAGATAGACAGAAATAGTTCTAAAAGCAAGAGTTGTTCAATGTGGATTAATGAACGTCAGATTAATCTCGTCTGAATCGCTTCTTATAAACAATAAAGAAAATAACTTGGATTTACTTTCACTCTTTGAGACTTGGCTCCAACAAGACGACTGCGTCAGATTGGATGAGTGCACCGACTTACCCTAAAACCAACAATACTTGACCTATTTATCTATTTACACTTCAGGGTGTGCAAAAAGACAGGAAGTGTGCAAACATGTTTAAAATATGGTTAAGGTTAAAGCTGCACTAACTCACTTTGTGAAATTTTTGAATGTGAGCGCTGGCCTCGCTCTTCTGCTCCCTTCCCCGCACTCAGCCTGTGCTTATGTGTTTACGGAGCTAGCGTCTCACAATATGGATCACACAAGCGCGGAGGAACGAGACTTTCTTTTGTCTGTTTCTCTGAGTAAGCAGTAACCGGTGACAAAGACACAGAAGTTTCAGGTTAGCCTCCGCCGCTTGTTTACCTCAGCTGTCTGTGCTAACCACAGACCTGTGGCTTTTCTCAAGAAAGTGGGGGCCAGTGGTCCGCTGTGATTGGTCACAATCTGGTCCCGAAACACATTCTCTTCCGCGTTGCATGAAAACTCTATCTAAACTAAGATGACACGCCAGCACAAATCTGCGCTATACTTTTTCTTCAAAAGGACCAATATCCCAATGCACTGCATGGATATGGATTGAATTTTCGTAATGAATACAAAAATAAAGTCAGGTAATGCAGCTTTAAGATATGTTCTCATTATTCCTGTGTGTATTTCACTCTGAAGCAGTAACTCTCAAAACATTTTGGTTCCATCACCAGTTTTCACCTGCATGTGTTTGGACTCTGGAGCTTTTTAAGACACGTGAAAAGAGAGGACCACCTTCACTCAGCCAATCAGCTCTCAGCTCAAAGTGGTTCATTGTGTCTCACCGAGTTGGCCATTGATAACAGGTTTTCTTATAATAAGAATGGTGTAGCATGGTTTATTTTTTCACAACTTCTGCAAGACTGTTTCTGTTTATACAAGACAATGTATTATTTAAGAAACCTAGCAGGTACACCAGAGTTTTGTTTACTACACTATTATTGAGAATAGTATTGAGAATATATGGCTTTCTCTTAAAATCTCACACTGGTTTCAGAGAATGCTTTATGAATGTGATGACAGAGTACATGCAATACAGTGTGGTGTTTGTCCTGTGTTGTACTAAGCTAAAATGTGTCTACAAATGCTTACCTCCCCTTTAGTTTGACAGACAGAAACGGAAAATGCTTGAAGGCGTGTGACGGGGGGGGCCAGGGCTGTAATGGCGCCGTAATGGGAGGTCATGTGGAGCTGTTTAAAGTTACTGTAGCCAAAAAAATGCGCTGATTGTTGGTGAAATCAGCTTGTTCTCGCGACCTTTGCCAACCTAAATCTCTTCATGAGTATCGCCCTGGACCGTGCTGACTGGGCCGCTACTACCGCCATCAACTCGCGATTGATTTCAGTCTTGCAGTCTATCAAAGTGGGAGGTGAGAGCGGCGTTCCCCTGGCTCTACAATAAAGCGCTGACTGAATAACAAGGCGGTATTGCTACGTGGATGAACGGCTCCGCGGGGGGTCTTTGGCAGTCCCACTACAGAACAGAGTTTTGCCCCACACTCAAGCAATGTAAATAATGGTTGTTTTGGATCTCTAACAATGCACTCTTCTGGCGGAAAATCCATACAAAATAATACGTGGCAATGACAAAAATACATAATAATATCTTAAAATGTAATGTATTTTAAAGATTACTTGGATTAAGTGTTCAGTGTTTCAAATTCGTTTTTGCAACCTCTTGAATGGCTGTGTTTTGCAGCCGGTAATTTTGATTGGAAAACAAATCTTCCATCCATCCACTTTCTTCCCCTTAACCCATTTCTGGGTTGGGGGGCGGCAGTCAGAGCTACACCCGATGCCCAGAGCACCAGTCCCTCACTGATCCTGCTGCAGGTGCTGAGTCCACAGGAGCCTGCTCCATCAGTGAGAGCATAACCTTGATAATTCAGCGGGGGCTTCAGGCAGAGTGGGGTTGTTCAAGGATACAACGACGGCAGACATCTGTGGGAATTGGTGGACTCCCAACTGAACCACTGTTTTATGTTCAACAAAAAAGTAAATTGCAATGTTAAAAATTCTAAATTGGGATCTACAGTAGTCCCTTGCTATATGGCAGTTCACCTTTCTAACTTAAAGCTGCACTAACTGACTTTGGGATTTTGAAGCCGCAGACTCGCTGGCCTCTCTCTTTCTGCTCCCCTCCCCGCACCCACGAAGCTATCGCCCCCACACACCCACTGTTGTTGACGGAGCTAGCGTCTTCCAATATGGATAATACACG